GTTCCCCCCCCCCCCCGTCTCCCCCTCCCAAAGGTTTCTGTTGAAATCGAGAATTCACGCATTCGCATCACAACAGACTTATCTCATTCGTTTTCCCCCTCCACCACTGGACTCCAGTCTCGAGGACCTCAATCTCAGCGTGGCTAAAGAAGACGAGAAAGGGAAGAGATGGGGCAGTCCGAAGCCGGTATCTCAACTTTCCCCCTCTCCCTTTGCATTTCGATTCATCCACAGAGCACCAAATCGGCCACAGGATATTTTTCTTCTTTTGACGTCGATGTCTACCACGCTTATGATGAGAGATCCCTCCCGTAAAAAAGCTCCCCCAGTCTTTTTCCATAAGCAAACAAAACAAAAAAAGATCACATCAAACACAGAAACATACAAAAAAAAAACGTTGGATCCTACAGAAGCCGTCGTGCTCACGACACACCCTAAACCCTTTCATGGGGTCTGTCATCGTGCGCCGGCAAGATCAACACCCCCCAGTGGTCATGTTCCGGTTCAGCCTATCGACCCCAACCCCCCACCCCCCCTCCCTACGTGGCATATATTTTCATGTCGACTTGATCTTGTCTGCGGCTCCCCCCGAGCTGCGCTCCTCGTTGTCACGGCGCTCCTTGAGCTTGGACCATGCTCCGACAGCACGCTTCCGGTTGGTCACGAGCCCGAGCTTTGCGAAACCGTCGATGAGCATCTTCGTGGGGTTGAACTGCGTGCTCACACCGAACTCGGACGCGGCGTAGTCGAAGGGGTACTTGTGGTGCCTGTCATCGTAGGGACGACAAAAAGAAGAAAGGCGGTTAAATTACTAACGGTTGGGAATCACGAGGGGAAGAGTAGAAGCAGGACGTCTGCCGCCTGCCGCGGTGTCATCACACCTTCCGTTTCGCGGACAAATAAACTCGCTCGGATCGTTATCAGAACCACAAAATACGCCGGAGCGTGGCATCGAGAGTTGTTTCCGCATCCTGCGGTCGTTCCACCTACATGAGTGTGCCAATGGCGAATAGCCGCATCATAGTACCCCTACCTGCGGGAGGGCGCACAGAATGGATCCAGAATCTTTCCTCGCGGAAAATCGCACCAAGAACAGAGAGCCGCTCTCGAATAAGGTCGGCAGGACCACCAAGAAACCACAAACACGGCGGCAAATGTATACTACATCGGCCCAACAGCGATACTCAACAAAATTCTTGGCAGGAACACGCCTACTTTATTATCGCGCAACGAAAAATGCAATTAATGCCTATGCATGAACGAGAGCAACACTTGAATAGGCTCATTTCAGGATCGAAGAAAGAACAAAACTTCGGTTCGTTGAAAGAGATGGATTTGCTGTGTTCCGAAAGGCCTACCAGAAAAAAAAGCTCACCAGTTGTGCCACCCCTCTCCGATGGCGCAGATGGACACGAAGGGGTTCTCCGAGGGCCACGACTTGTGGTCGTACGGGTGGTCTCCGAACATGTGCGCGGCGGAGTTAACGAACCACGTGAAGTGGAGGACCACCACGTAGCGCAGCGCCCCCGCGACCCAAAACCCGTGCCAGAAGTCCTCGCCCCACCCGCGGTTGGCCACCATGGCGGGCAACACGAAGCACATGAAGAGCGCGAACCAGGGGTCCAAGCTGTCCTGGAACATGACGATGGGGTCGGCCTCGAGGTCTGCGTAGCTGAGCGTGCGCCCGGCCTTGATCACCTCCGGGTGCTTCTTAACGTATAGCCAGCCCATGTGCGCGAAGAAGAAGCCGCGCTTCGCGTTGTGCGGGTCCGCGTCCGTCTCCGAGTACTTGTGGTGCACGCGGTGGTCGCGCGACCAGTGGTAGATGGAGCCCTGGTTGGCCATCGAGTTGATGAGCATCATGAAAACGCGCACCGACCAGTGCGCATCGTAGGAGCGGTGCGCCCACAGGCGGTGGACGCCGCCGGTGATGCCGAGCCCGCTGTGGTCGTGGGAGGGGAGGGCCGGCGGGGAGACGTGAGACGGGGAACGGAGGACGCTTGTGTCCAGGCATTGTAGCTTCTTTATTCTTCGTACACCATTAAATCCAGCAAATCCATGTCTGGAAGGAGGACTTCTTGAAGGATGATCACTTCAGCCAAGGGTCTAGCACAAAGTATAGTGAAGAATTCATAGCCTTCTCGCAATTTCCGCAATATTGGCAGCAGCAAACGTCACACGACGTCATCCCTCATTCATGCACCAGTAAACTCGAAACATATTCTACTCTCCCGCATTGTTACAACTCTCCCGTACTGTTAGTCTGGCTGCTGAAAAAAAACTTTGGGTATTGACCTAGGTGTGACCAAACATGTGTGGGGGAATCTTTCGTTCCTGTCTTTTTTGAAACCGCAAGAGGAGCACATGATCGATTTAGTCTGTACACTACTAGGACACCGCTGCCAACCAATGGTGCCTTCGGATCATCGGTTAGGCTCGTGCAGCATCTAGACTGTGAGGTGTAGAACTGAGTCGGGCCCCGATCTGACGAAGCATCATGGCATTCAAACATAGCACGAGTTAAAACTTGACGGTATCGATGTACTATCCCGGCAGATATCAAAGCAGCTTGCACAACATTGAAATTCGGTTTTGCAGTCACCCCGACAAGTCTTCGTGCCTGACTGAAAATAGATGCGCGTCAAGACGCCAAAAGAATGTGACAGGACAGCAGCGCGCGTGTGTGCACCGCAGCAATGGGGCAAGTAGGGGGCTGGCTAGCTCTGGGCTGCTTGCTGCTCAAAGATCAAGAGTTGAGTCAAACAGGCTTAGTGAGAACAAGGCTTGGTTAGATGTACAGACCCAGGCTACCAGGGCACACGACAGGCCATCTGCAGACAACATCAAGAGGGGAAGAGGCTCCTGGGAAAATCCGTCGCTGGACAAACTTGGCCGGTTGGCTTTGGTACGAGTCCATCTCGCGGCCCTTCGGTGAGTTGCATCGCGATCCACGCTCTACTCAACCCAAGACTTGACAACATTTTATTACTACAGAGTCTGGATTATTGAGCGGTCTGGGTCAGCAACCCGAGTAAATAATCGCATCACAACACGATGACGCTCCTGACAGGACGACAGGACGAGCCCGTGGCAACCCCAGAAGGAAGAAAAGCGCTGCCCAGTAGAGCAGTATATGTAGTAGGTGTACCCGACAGATGCACGGCACTCACCATCACGCACGGCACCAACAAGTATGATACTGGGATCGATTTATGTCTGCATTCTGGTTGGGCGTGCTTCTCGACTACAGGCTGTTGAGTTTCGATAGGCGTTGTGCAACGCTCTCTTTTTCCCATATAAACGGTGCACGGTCATAACCTACCGTCTTTTCGCCCCCGGCGGCAGCAGAATGAAAATGAATGCACACAAATGTGATGCGTACACGTGGATAGGGCGATGCTGCGACCAACCACACAATGGGGCAGCGTCGCAGCTCGTATGTGATGCAAGCGATACGCCAGCGGGCGGGGGGAGAGACAACGCCGGCCGGAAAAAGACGGGGGAGTGAAAGGAGAGAGAAGAGAGGTAAGACTCACGTTATAGGCCACAGGACGAACGCAAGCAGGCAGGTCTGCCACTTGCAGTCCTGGATCGTGCAGAACCCTAGTACCGCCGCCATGTGCACAAGGGTGATGTAGATGGCCATGGGCCAGTTGATGGACTTGTTCTTCCAGTGGTAAACCACCGTCTCCACGGTGTCCTTGATCAGCGTGAAGGGGTTGAGGGTCAGCGACCTCCCCTCCAGCAAAACGTCAGACGCATCCGACGCCATGGTGGTAGTTCTCGTTACCTCCGTCTCCGAAATGATTGAGCCTTGTTACTCCCTGGTGTGGTTGCGAGCTTCCTTGATTCAGCACCAAAAGCTTGCGAGAATGATGGCAGTTGCCGAAGCTTGTTGAGTTGTAAGGTTGGGCGCTGGTGGCGGGGTACAAATATGGTCAGCACCTTTTCTTCATGCCGTGGGGCGTGTGATGATGATTACGCCTTCAAAAACCACGTCGCGCGTCATGATGTTGATTCTCTTGGATATGATTGGCCAGAGCAAGATCGTCGTTTTTTAATACGCGTGCGGTTCTCGCGCGTGAAAATAACACCCACCTCGAAAGTTCAAATTCATCTGCGGAGCCCCGCCCAACGGCCGTTTGACTGTGTGTCTCTTCTGCGTGTCTGCTGCTGGACAAAGAGGCAGGACAGAGAGTAGGTGTAAGGTGCATCGATCGCTTCCCGGCGGAGCCTACTGTGAGGCCACAGAGCTCGATCAACTTTCGTGATCTTGGAAACCATCAGACGTAATAGGGGACGAGAGAGGGAGAGCGGGAGGGATGGCGGCAACGGCGACGAGGACGCTTCAGGAGATGAGGGATATCGTGAACAACGACATGCCGCAGATATACGACAGGACGGCCGGCGTGGACGACGTCCGCGAGGTGTTAGAGCTGGAAGCTGCCATGGAGATGGAGTGTGAACGCCGCGAGATGGACGCAAGGGCCATGATCCGCGGTGCGAATTATATGTGTGACCTAGCGATGTAGCAGACGATATGCGAGCGTGAACGAGTGCCCCCGCACTTCGCGAGCGAGCGTTGCTTGTTGCTGGGTACTCCAATCTACTTCCAACTGACATGCAGAAGGTGCTGTCCGAGCTCGTAGGACAACTTCCTGTGCTTTCTGGAGTCAGTCTTTTTTTCTCTGGAGATTTGTCTTGTGTCACATGGTATTCAGTCGGTATTCAAGGTATTGACTAACTATGTATGCAATAGCTTTGCATTTTTGAAACGCGTGTGGCGGTGTGCTGCTGGGAGTGATCGTCTTTCATGACGAAAAAAGATTCTGATCTTCATCCGCACCTCCTCTTCCGTACCATGACATGAATTCCCGTCACTACTGACTACAAGTTGATCTGAAACGAAGTGCCAAAACTTCAAAGCGCTCGTTGAATAAAACGGCGGGGGTGCAAACCAGATGGTACTTCGAGTCGGCTGCCGCCGAGGGCCAACCCGCTTGAGCTGCACACGGCACAACAACTTGGCAATGGCGAACAACATGTAGGTTCTCGTCGACCAACTGCAGTTGCTACACACATCCAAAGATCTTGATACACACGAGGTGCCCGGCGAAAGTCGTCTCTAGCTACGCCCAGCGATTGCTGTTTCTCTGATAGAGGCTACATATCTCCACAAAGGTTGACACGCGAGTTTCACAATTCGATCGACGTGGTCTGCATCTTCTCGTTGCCTCTCAAGAATCGATATCCGCAAGACCCGGAGAGATGGCAACCCCCCTCAGACCGACTTTCATAGCTCGATTTCTCCACGACCAAGACCGTCTGTACCGTGCCGTATACCGTACCATGGTATTCCGCAATACACGGAGAGATGGCACCCCTCCTCAGACCGACTTTCATAGCTCGATATCTCCACAACCATGTGGGTGCGGGAACAGCCCAATACGTCGACGCAAGGCCTCGACGAGATGTTTCCAAAACATTTTTTTGGTGTTGGCAGGACTTGTCACAGACACCCACGGTTGACAACCGCTACTTTGGCCACATGAGCGAGAGCTCATTCTTACGTTCTCGTGTTGCCTCTTTGTGCTCGTGTTTGACGATCGCTCCAGACACGATCGACCTGCTAGAACAACGGCATCGGGCGATCGTTGAGCCATCGGAGCAGGCGTTTGTGGCCAGGGTCCGGGAGGTCGAGCACGAGCGCGCTCAGGCAGCGTCTCACATCCAGGAGCAGGCGGAGGAGGCGGCGGCGCGGGAGAGAGACATCGAGCGAATGCAGGTATACTGCACGGGACAACTCTGTTGCCGAAGTCGGGAAACTACGTGGGGGATGAGTGGATGTGTGTACAGTAGTAGGCCATGTTGGTTTTTTGTCGTTTTCTTCGATGGTAATGTGAAACGAGTGAACCGTCCTCGACAGACATTTCTTCTTCGAGAATCGTGTGCAACAATAGTTGTTTACGAGCAGCTAGCCTATTCGCTAACTTCGAGCAAACGCAATATTCGTGGTCACGTTGGTCGTGAATGGCGCCAGCGAGCAGCGTGCACCTACATGTAGCCCTCATGTCGCAACTGCTGCTGCTGTCATCCCGAAAATTCGGTCAAGCTCAGCCGAAGAAGCCTATTCCCGTGAATCGTTAATGTTTTGTGGTGCGCGTACTGGATAGAAGGACTCAGCAAGCGCCGCGACAGGAGTATATTTGAACATTCGCAGAGAGGGGTGCTGCCTACGTAGCCTCTCGCTCGCAACTTCACCCCTTGGCGCTCAGCTGGCCTGGTTCTACCGAAGCGACACATGTCACCATTCTCATGCTTATGTATGTATGTTGTGCAATAACAGGTCAAGGGCGTTTAGCCCCGAAAATGGCACAACACTGGCTTGTTTTGCCGCCAAATCTTACCGGCGACCTGTAGCCCAAGCAAGTTGGTCGAGACTACGAATTGTCCACACACATGGATATTTGGAACCGACATGTTCACGTCGCTGGAGCACATTACCACATGCTAAGGTGTGAATGAAATCCCTATTTATCGATACCCACCAAGAGTCATCTGGTGTGCTGTACGAACGACTTGATCAAGAGCGAAATGGTCCTCCACCCCGCACGATGCAAAAGCCTCTTTCTTTCCATGCCCTCGACACGCCAAAACAACAATATCGATGCTAAGGGCGAGGTGGAAGACACCCAGACGGAGATCGAGAACACCGTGGACGCCCACACCATGGAGATGCCCCGCGTGCAGAACGCCATCGGGCTCTACACCAACATAACTCGCATCAAGTGGAACTACGAGACGGAGGGGGAGATCATGGCCGGCTGGCTCGTTCCGCCGGAGGCCGGGGTGGGCATGAGGGGTGCCAACGGGACGGCGGTTGTCGAGGGGTTTCAGTTTGACGCGGCGGGGAAGGACGATTTCGAGGTCGCGAACAAGCTCTGGGATGTCATCGACGGCAAGGCGCGCGCCATGGTTGAGGCATAAGTAGGTTTTCCCCCCGCCCGCACGGCTGCTGTGTTCGATCGTACGGCGAGGAGGCGTTTTTTTTTACGTGGTCATGGTGGTGTGGGTTGTTCGTTGGTTGGGCTATCGGTTGCTGCGCACGAGTAGGAAGTGTATAGTAGTAGGAACGGAGTGCTGTGGTGCTGTGTGTGGTATGTAGGTCGCGTGGTTCGTAGCGGGAAAGCCCGTTGTGTTGCGATATGGCTCTTGGTTATAGCGCTGTCTGGTAGAAGCGTGCTGGGTATCTCCAGGCGGGAAGAGCAGTGTTGACATTCGAACACCACATTTATGTGACGGGCTAAGACGATGCCGTGCACGAAGGTGAGGGGTTGCTGTCTGGAGTAGTTTCGCATGGTCTATCGTTTTTTCCCCAAGCCCTTTTCAGAAAGTTATGCATGGTACATTTACTGAGTATGTAGGCTATCTGAATCCGGTACGTGATGTACTGTATGTTAGAAACTCCATCCGAAGTAAGCCGTTTTTGCATGTTTGTATCCACTCTCCCGTAAGTTACGTAGACGAAGAAATCAGGGATAACTCGTTGAACAATAGTCTACAAGCGACGAAACACACGCGACGTATGTGCAGCCTGGTGGTTTTCCAAAAAAATATGCGGTCTGTGAGGCAGTCAAGGCAGGGCAGTTGGGTTTCCAGGTCTCAGACACGGAAGATAAAGCCCGGCGCGGTTACCCTACAATCTGGCGGAGGAGGGGGACAGACGGCTGTCTGTCCATATCTGTAGCAGACACAAAGAGATCAATCTCCCTCTTTCTCGAATCCTATCAGCAGAATCTAGAGCCTCTGGCAGAAAATCAGGATCTTGCACGTACGTGCGCGTCTTGATGTAACATGGAGCTTGTACGCAATTTACTTTTATGCCAAGTCATCCAACATGTGTGGAGAGAAAAATATAAGGGCTGGCCCACCGGCCACCTCAAGGGAACAGCGTTCGACACGGTAACAACGGTACACAAAACTTGAAGAAGGTAAAGGTGCTGCTATACATGGCAGCAGTGACAGCAGTACATGGGCTGCGTTAGATATTACGACCGACCTGAGTCGACCCTTAGTCTGCCGGACGGAGTGTACGTTCTAGAAGTAGTTTCGGGTATGGTCCTTCAGTCAGCCGCAAGACACTAACTGTACGGCGTTCGTTGAGCCTGTCACGTCCGTGCAACTGGCTGTTCTCTGACAGACGATGTATAGTCTAGACTAGATCTAATATATTCATTCTCGGCCCCGGATCCTGTCGAGGAAGGACGGATGACGTGAAAAATGGAGCCGTATGTACCCAACATTGATATACGCCACGACGCCCGTATGATGGGTACAACGAAGAAAGCACACATGGCATATTCTGAACGCTCGGTGTACTGACACCGCTTTGTTTTCGTATTCCTGTACACGTCAACACTAAATAGACTACAAAGCAAGTGGCCCGATATATGGGGGTGTGAATAAAGCCGCGTTCAATTTTTAAAAAATCCAAAAACCGAAAAACCAAAACGCCAAAATACAGCCACCAGGGGGGGGTGGTCATTTTTGAATGCTCCTTTCGCGCCCCGGGTGTGCGGGGCGCACTCCACTCTGAGCATCATGGCACCCACAACAAGAGGAGCGCATAAAGCAGGGGGGGAGACCGCGGCACCCTCAGGCCGTTCAGGTCGCCCTGTGGTCGGCACCAGGGCTACCCGCAGCAGCGGCCGCGGTCCGCAACAAGCAGCGAAACAAAATTCAAAAACAGCACCCTCGCAACGCACGAGGCGCGGCCTCTCCCTCCCGCTGCGTAACACGCGGAGCTCAGCGAAGGAGGATGCTGCCGCTGATGGTGCCACATACCCTGCCTCTGCCACGGCTAATGCTGCAGAGGCGTTGGCAGACCTAGCGCAAACTGAGGCGCCTCCCGCTGCTCGTGCGGAGTCTGGAGGACTCACAGCGCAGCCTGTCTCTTCGCCGGCTAGGGCGAGTTCTAGGGGGAAGACGCGACGTGACTATAGGTCGATGCACGAAGGCACGCCGCCAGCTGCAAGTCACACGG